CTCGTCTAACGTTATCAGTTATTCGATATTACAGCAATAATTTATTTTATTTTCAAGACGCAGTGTCGAAATTTGCAGTTGGTTAATCAAATTTTTAAAGATAAATATTTGTGTTGAAACAAATTTCTTGCATTAAAAGTTTACATACTTTTGCGTTATATTTTTGTCATATATTTAATTGCTATATAATTTTACATGTTTTATAGAGTTTTTAATTGAACAAATTTTTTAAGAACTTGTTATATACCTATATATTTTTTTAAAGAATTTTATATATACCTATATATTTTATACATATTTAATATATAAAAATAACACCTGCTTTATGCAAGCAATTTAATATTTTGTATTGACATATTTTTAGTTTTAAATCCTGTTGGTAATTAACTAAAGTAAAATAAAATAATTTAATAATAGTATGTTTTAAAAACGACGATAAAGTATATTCAATTCTTTACAAATTTAGAAATCAACTTATCCTTATTAAAGAAACAGCAGTAGTTGAGAATTCTCAGGAAATATTGTTTTATCTTGATACAGTCAATAGAATGCAAGTATTTTGAAGAGAAGATATTCTATAAGGTAACCGAGGAAGAAGTTTATAGGTTTTTCGTTCATAGTTTCCTCAATTTCTTGTAGCTTTTGTTGCATTTATTTGCAATTGTTGGTCGATTTGTCGAGTTTCTAGCTAGTACGATATCGTACTATTCTCTACCGTTTCATTTCCGAATCAATCCATTTCCGCGTATTTATGTTTTCTTTCTTGTCTATTATTTGTTGAATATTTTTTCATTTCAATTTTTTTCGAAATTATATTTGTTTCTCTACTGCTTCACTACTCAATTTCAGCAATAACTTATTGCACCATACGTACTTATTCATTTAATTATAATATTTACATTGCATACCATTGTGTGTTTTTATTAACATATAAGGAGAATTGTTAATGTAATATATATCGATTTTCTTATTTGCTAAAGTTGGAGTGACCTTTTATTTGCGTTTATCCTTAGTTGACATTAGTAAGGAGTAAAACGAAGGCATACAAAGTAAAACGACAAAATAACAGACTTTTATACGGATGTGTGAGTAAGCACTGCCATTGTGCGAAATTATGTGTAAATAATAATTTGAAAGCAAAAATTTGTTCAAAAAATTTCGTGCAAAAATGCCAAATTATTATTGACGGGAAAAGTGCAGAGCGCATTTACGCTAAAAACGTAAAAAAAGTGTATAGGGTGCTAGCAGTCTTTTATGGAGAAGTGTACATGGCACAGTGTATATACAATCTAAAGTATTCGAGATTTTGCGCATTTTCTTTTATAGATTATTTGGATTAACTTGAACTTAATTATCGTTGGATAAAAATGTCAAAGTAATAATTTTTAGATTATATACATAGATGATCGAAATTTTCATATTTTTGCTTCTGAAGTTATAGAGTTGAGACGTTTAAATATAAAAAACATAATTTTATTCTTTTTTTTTATTTGAAATAAATCTTGTGTAGAATAATGATTTATTTGTTTATAGATATTTATTGATATTTAAAATTAAATGGTAAAAAATTGTAAGAATTGATTTAATTGTAATTATAAAATTTTAGTGAAAAATATTAAAAATATTAAAAATTAATTAATTTGTGATAAGAATAGTAAAAGAACTTAGTTTAAATCTGAAACATGTTGATATATTCTCATAATATTATACAAAAAACTCGCGCAGTCTTCTCATAAGTATTTCGTCATTCATTGCACAAAACGTTTTCTATTTATTTATAGATATACCATATATAATCAAAAGGAAATGTTTTCTCAAGATATGCTTCAGTAGAAAGAAATAATAATGTAAAACTGAAGTATATTTTGGCTTTATCATAAAAATATAAAAAATATATCGAAACATTTTTCGACAACGATTGAAATATTGTAATTTTCCAAGAGAATTACTTCAGTACAATAATTTACTTACTAAAATATTTACTGAAATATGACAGAGAGGCAAAATGTTATAATATAAAAGTATAAGAGTAGAAAAAATTACGGTATATATAATGCCGATATAAATGAAATATATTTTTGAAAATTGAATGTATACGATTATTTTTTTCCGAAGAACTGATATTTTATTCTGATTGTGAGTTCTATTAGAGATATTTAGAAAGGTTCTATCAGAGAGCCATCACTTCGGCCGTAAACAACAGTTTAGGATCTCACCAACTATCGATTTTTTTTATACGGAGTGCACCGTGTACATATGTGTCCGTCACTGTCGATTTTATCGTAGTATACCCTTTTCTCTAGTTTCAGGACGATTGTACACGCAATGCACAGACATATTACCGGGAATCTAATTTATGTAGCGTGACGTGAATTTAAAGTCGCTTATCGTGTTGTACTACTTTGAGATTGATCACGCCAATATAACTGAATTTGCTAAAGTAATTACGAATATAAAACATTCTAAATATGTAATTTTCAGTTTATTAATATATGTGTGTGTGTGTGTGTGTGTGTGTGTGTATAAACAATTAAATTATTTTATATTAATTAATAGTACAATGCGTGTATTTTAATTTTTTAAAGCAAGGAGATATAATTGCATTTAAATATCCATCCCGAGGTCTTAATGATAGACTAAAATCTTCATTTTATTTTTACCAAAAATACAACGATAATCTGTATGCAGTTTTATAGCTACGAAATCTCTTTAGAAGAAAATTGAATATACCTACACGTAAAAGCATGTTCATTCGTATAACCACCGTTTATACACGAAAAAGTTTGGCGCGATCTCATTAGCGGTTTAACTCTTTTGTGCCAGTCGTTGTCTACTTCGCTTGGATGTTTCCTTTATAAAATCATCGTTACGTGTGAGACTATGATGGAAAGAACACTGAGAGAAAAGAGAATTAAATACGATATTGTTTGAAGTAATCGCGTCTGAAAATCGATATGTACGAGTATGTATATTTTTTGCTTGTTGCAATGATGATGTAAATTGTAAATTAAGCCTTACAGTGGCTTGTTGTGATATCGCTGTTGTGATAAATCACGCTTAATAGAATTTTGTTAAAAGAATTCAATTTTTAATGAAAATTGTCTAAAAATATTTTAAATCTATAATCTTTGCTATCTAGAAAAGAAATGTTATGATATTAAATCAATGTTAAAGAAGTAAAAAATAGAGTTTAAAAAAATTTTTAAACGTTTTTGATCAGATTGTAAGATTATATGCAGATTTAATTATATTTTATTATATTTAATTAAAACCACTGAGTACAGTAAATTATTTTTCCCCTTATCTTGCATATCTTATTTTGGGTAATATCTCCAAGAAAAAATTTCTGCGTGATATACCTTGATTGCCTCCCTAAAATTGCAATTCTACCAGCTAGACATAAATGTAGCAGCAGCTTGAGACTTGTCCGTAGAAAATTCGTTTTACGCTAATGTCCTTGTGAGTCAATTCTTCTGAAGACACCTGTGTACCTATTCGATATCAATGTCAACGTGCTTAAGCTACGCAGATGACATACGATACACATATATATATAAATAATATATTTTAAATATACATATATATATATAATTTATTAATGTAATTCACGGATAATCAGATTGGTAGAGATAAAAATTTCGGCAAATTTACGTTTGCAAATTTGCATCAGGTTATCGCGCTTATATCATATGTTTTATTTGAATATTTTTTCGTATTTGATGTAACTTTGATAACTTCTCTTAAATATACACATACACATATGACACATATTAAACAGTGACATATATGTAGATGTGTATAAAAATCAACTAAAAAATTACGCATTTTTATAAAAATGTAAATTATTAAAAATATTATAACATTTATTTACTGTTCTCTTTCTCTCTTTCTCT